CCAGGACAGAATCCGGCGCCCCAACCAGGACTAGAACCCGGTGTGCCGGCGTTGCAAGGCGGAGGATTAGCCCAGTGAGCCGCGGCGCTGGCCTGGAACTTGTGTACATATTAAAGAACCTCTTCAAGTGATTCTGATGTAAGGACCCACTGGTGTAGACTATCTATAATGATTTATATTTGTAAGTGGTGAGATAGTTTAAAAGCTATCCAATAACTTTTGGATTAATCTTATGAAATACTGCACTGCTACTTTTGATACACTGTCAGGTTTAGGACTGAATTTTAGCAGGAAAGAAATAAATATAGAAGTCTGGCTAACTAATTGAACGTTTGCTCCTCTCTTTGTAACCTGTGTTAAAATAAATTATGTTCATTGAATGAATGGTGAGACACACCTAGTTTCAGAATTGTGTTATTTAAGTGTTTAAGACTTCTTAAAATGTCAAAATGAATGTATGCTAGCATCCACAATTTTAAGGTCACTTGTAAATCAGAAGTACTGTCATCTTGGTTGTCGCTCCCCCTCTTCGTGGAGGAGCGACACTGAACCCTGCCTAGGCTTCATATCCGAGTCATGGCACCATTATGTCGCTCCCCGTCTTCGTGGAGGAATGACACAGGACCCTGCGTTGTTCTTTCGTCTGCTCGGCCCTCCCCGGGTTTGCTGCTGGTTCTTCCCGGGTTGGCTACCATCCCTTCCACCTCCGTGGAAGGGCGGTTCCCCCTGCCACCTTCCCCACTTCCGCGGGGGAGCGGCACACCGCCGGCCGGCTCTCTCGGGGGCTGCACAGGTATTCCCCTTAGATGTTCCTCGTGCATGTTGTCTCTCTCCTCCTTTATAGTCCTTTTCCACCAATCCCAACTCTGCTACCCACACTCCGAGTACGCTGCTCTCCTCCAATCAGGAGCATGTCCTACAGTTTATTGGTTGAACTGGAGGCAGCTGTGTAGAAGCTGCTTCTCCCTTCTCAGCGCCATATTGTGGGAGAGCTGATGCATAGAATAAGTCTTAATTCCAGTAACTTAGTCTAGTCCGGGTTGCTCCCCACACTTGGTAACTAAAACATACAACTTAGCTGTATTTCAGTAACACAGAAACATATCTTGTAGCTGTATTAGAATGGAATCCATTAGTTAGTCTTGCTGTGTTTTTGCATGGGAGGCTTCTGTTTCCAGGTTGAAAAAAATCGCTTGTCTTGAAACTGTAACGGCATGTACTGACCTGAAGTGATGGGAATCCATTTTGTATTTTATTTGCAGTAACTATCATGTAAATATACACTGAATGTAATATAGATTATGTCCACATTGAGTTTTTGAGTGGATACAGTTTATAAATATATCAATTATATACCCTCATTTGTTTGTCTGATTTTGAACTTATAAAATGGGAACCACTTTTTATGCATTTAATTAAAAAGGTATCTGAATTTAAAAAAAGAAATATAACATATATCATATAGTTCAACTACATAAAATTTTTATGCTTGTTCATAGTTATGTACCTCCAACCACATTCAATTTTAGGACTTTTTAATCGGATTTCAAGTTGGCTGATTAGGGAATGACATACTGTGCCAAGTTAGGGATAAATAATAAATAACAAAGTGTAGGAAGTGCAATATCAGGGCAGAATTAGAGAAAAAAACACACTGAAAATTCTGCGAAAGGAAGAGGCATGCCATAGACCTGTGTGGAAGGTGCACATATGCAGCATGAACATGGACACAAAAATGACTGCAGCGGCTGAGAGTGGGAGCAGGCAGCAGCCTGGAGATGGAGACGAGACCAGTCTACTACAGCACATGGTAACATAGCTGGGGGGAGAGCAGCGCTTGAGTCCAGACTTTAACCCTAGGGATTAGTGGTTACTAGCAGTTACCTATGGAGCCAGTAGAAGTAAAATGGGCACATGTTTCTCACCCCAACAACTGCACAGCAGCACTCACATCCCAGCTAAGAAAGCATGTGATCCACTCTGGGTTTGTGAGGCAGCTGCAGAAGGCTTTGTGCACATGCACAGCCACTGGCTGAGACAGAACACCATCCTCTTGGCAGTACTAGCAACAGTGGTGGTGACAGAGCAACATTCGGCCAGAGACCCTTGTGTGTGAGTGTGATCCAGAGTCTAGCAGAGGGAAAAATCCACAGCTCCCACTCATGTTGAGCCTGGTGGGGGGATTGATGGGTGGCTGAGCACCCACATAAGACTGTGAAGTGCCGCAGCCACCCAACATACCACAGGCTCTGGGGCTCCTGCTGCCTGGGTGGAGCTGGTTTGGGATCATTGGATTCTCTGTTTACTGGACGACCAGGCAGGGCAGAGTGAAACCTCTGCACCCAGGCACTGTCTGAGACCCTAAGAACTCGGTGGCTACATGAGAAGATGCAGGGTGACGCTGGGTCTCTGGGCAATCCCTGGGTATAGCTCACATGCATGAAGCTCCTTGGTTGCCTGGGACAGTTCATTTCAGGAGGAACTGTATTCACAGTGAGGACTGTACAGATCATCTTTGTGGTTCGTATGGTGGCTTAGATGAGTGCTTAAAACACTGGGAGCTAATATTCAAGCGCTGCTCATCTTAGAGGACAAAAAGTGAGGTGGTGATCACATCAACAGAGGTGAAGCTATGTAATGAATAACGGATCAATTCAACAGGAAGATGTGACTACAATGAATTATCATGCACCCAACTACATTGTGCCTGGCCATTTAAAAGAAATGTTAATGCATCTAAAAGAATACATAGACTCCATTATAATACAAATAAGTGACTGCAACACCCCACATTCATTAATAGAAGATCAAATAGCCAGAAAATCAACAAAGAAACAACAGAGCTAACTGACATTATGGAACAAATGTACCAAATAAATATCTACATAGACACGAAGATCCTCAACAAAATGCTACTTCATCAAATCCAACAACACATCAGAAAGATCGTCCACTTGAACCAAGTGAGATTTATTCCTGGTGTGTAAGGATGATTCGCAAATCAATGTGATAAATCACATGAACAAACTAAACAACAAAAACCATATGATTATCTCAATAAATGCAGAGAAAGCATTTGGTTAAATACAGCATTCTTTCATCATGAAAATATTAAGCATATTGGATATACAAGGAAAATTCCTCAACGCAATTAAGGCAATCTATGACAAATGCACAGCCAGCATCTTATTGAATGGGGGGGAAATTGGAAGCATTCCTGCTAAGATCTGGAACCAAACAAGAATCTCCACTCTCACCATTGCTATTCCATATAGTCCTGGAAGTTTTAGCCAGAGCCATAGAGACAAGGAAAAAAAATGAAAGGGATACAAATTGGAAAGGAGGAAGTCAAACTATCTTTATTTGCAGATGACATGATTCTATGTATAGGGGATACAAGAGACTTCAATACGTGACTATTGGAACTCAAAACAAGAGTTTGGTAAATTGGCAAGATACAAAACTAACACACAAAACTAACTAGTCTTTCTGTATATGCATAAAATGCATTGGCTGAGAATGAACTTCTAATATCAACCCCATTAACAATAAGTACAACCAAATTAAATATTTTGGAATAAATTTAACCAAGGATGTCAAATAGCTCTACAATGAAACTTACAAAACATTAAAGAAATAAATAGAAGAAGTCACAAAAAATGACAAAAATCTTCCATGTTCAGGGATTGGAGGAATAAATATCAGCAAAATTTAAGTTGTCCAAAGCAACTTAAAGATTCAATGTTATTCCAATCAAAATATCAATGACATGCTTCTAAGATATGTAAAAAACAATGCTAAAATTTAAAAGGAAACACAAAAGAATGTGAATAGTCAAAGCAAATTTAAACAACAAAAAGGAAGTGGGAGGCATCACAATACCAGTTTTGAAGACATACTACAGGGCAGTTATAATCAAAAGATGAATGTAATGGCATAAAACAAAACAAACATGTAGACCAATGGTAATGGAAAAGAAGAGACACTCCATAGATCTATGGACACATCTACAACCAACTTACTTTTGACAAAGGAGCTAAAAATCAATCCATTGAACAACGACAGTCTCTTCAACAAATGGCTGGGAAAACTGAATTGCCACATGCAGAAGTATAAAACAAGCTCCCTACATTACACTTTATGAAAAATTCACTCAAAATGGACCAAAGACCTAAGTCTATGACGTGATATCATCAAATTACTAGATAACATTGGGGAAACTCTGCAGGACATTTGCATATACAAAGCCTTCTTGTGAAAGAACCTAGAAGCACAGGAAGCAAAGCCCAAGTTGATAAATGGGATTACATCAAACTGAGAAGCTTTTACACTGAAAAACAGAAAGAAAAAAAAAACACTCAACAAAGTGAAGAGGGAGAACATATTTATTGTATAAAAACATGTTTTAAACATGTTTGAAAATTATACAATTGATAAATGTTAATATCCAGAAACTATGAAGAGTTCAAGAATTTCAACAACAATGAAACAATCTAGTGAAGAAGTGGGCAAAATGCTTGTTCAATTTGTTTATTTTCTTCTTTTATGAAATTTAATTAAGTTCTATGAATATCATGTATTTCATATAAACAGATTTAAGAATATAGTGATACTCTGCACCCTAAACTTGCTCCCACTCACTCCCCAAAATTTCTTCCTCATTCCTTTCCATTCCTACTCTTAATTTTACAAAGATCTACTTGCAGTTTACTTAATGATAGTAAGGATAGCCATACAGTAATTTTAAAAATTCAACAAATAGTATGAAGGAAAAAACACTGTTCCTTAACAGAAGAAACAAAGGCTATAAACAATCATTGACTCTCAAAATGTCCATTCAATACCTTACATTTTAGGTACTTTATTAGTTACCCAAGATCAGGGAAAATATGTTTGCTGTCTTTTTTTGTATTAGCTTATTTCGTTAAATATAATGGCTTCCAGTTGCATCTTTTTTTTTTTTTTGCAAACGACTGGATGTCATGTTTTTTACAGCTCAATTTTTTTTAAGGACAGCAAAAACGTTTATTTGAAAAAATTACTATGTATTGAAAATATACATTAGAAATTATTACATACTTCCATAGCATTCCCCTCCCCACCACAAAAGTAGAAATATCTGCTTGCTATGCTAATGCTATAGGTAAATTCAAACAAAAAGTAAATCATCATCAATCCCCTTTCTCTTAAGTTAGAGTTTTGGGAAAACAGGTCTGCCTGCAGCTGCAGTCAGTAGGAGTTTAGCAAGTCCCAGTCCTGCACGGTGAGGCACACGCACTTCTGCTTGGAAGCCTGTGAGGAGCTACTCTGCTCCTTCTCGGACTCCTCAAAAGCTCTCTTCTTGCTCTTCTTCGCCTCCTGGGTTGAGCCAGCCTCGTGTTTCAGCGTCGGCCCCTGAGAGTCTGCAGTCTTCTCTCTGTAGAACTGGAGTTTCCCAGAAGAGTGCATGTAGGTGTCTTCCAGGGGACACCTCAGTGAGGCCTCCATGAGAAACCGGCTGCTATAGAAGTACTGCGCTGCTTTCCGAGGCTCTGCTGCCATTGGTGTCTTGACAGATTTCACCGTCTTCCGCTCCCACTGCCGCACGATCTGATCGGCCCAGCCCTCCGTCTTGCAGTTACTGTGGTCGAATTCCTTCAAGGGCACTTTGGAGTGAACAAGGCCTATGTGTGTCTGCAGCTTGTGCTTGACGGCTTTTACATCCTTGAGCCCCGTCCCAGAGATATCTAAGCAGTTTAGTTTTCTGAAAGAAAACAGGTATCCAATTCCCGCATCTGTGATCTCAGGGTTACAAGATAAGTCTAATAACGTTAGATTTTCAAGGCCTCTTTTCATGACTCGAACAGGAGCTGTCGACAAACAATTATCCTTCAGGTGGAGTTGAGTGACACTGGACAGAGCCTCATTGGTGAGGTGTTCTAGAAGTTCGTGGTCATCTCCAAGCTTGCAACAGGAAAGATCCAGGCAGGTCAGCTCGCAGAAAGACTTAATCTCCTCAAGCTTTTCTGAAATCACCAGATATCTGTTCCGCAAACACAGGGAGCAAAGCACCAGACTTCCATAGCCCTCAGTAAATTTCTGCAAAGCCCTCAGCCCTGCACCTGGTTCTGTGAATTTCTGTCTGGCTTCATCAGCAGAGAACAGTTTTTCAGTAATCTGCTTAGGAAAGCCGATGAGGGAATCAACGTGATCAACGTTGTCAGAGATGAAGCCGAGGACGAGGTTGAAGAGGGATTTGGCCAATTACCGGAGATTCCCCTCCCGGGTGTACGTGAAGATGAAATGATCAGTCTTCTCTTTCTGTGCAGTGTCATCTTCCCTGTTCATGCAAAGCTCCACAGAAAAGCCTTTGGAAAACAGGCGGAAGGGCCTCGGCTTCTGCAGGCTGCTCCTGACATTGTCCAGAGCCAGACTGACCATGTGCAGCTGACCGTTTTCTCGCACATAGATGGGACCTGGGTCCAGGTGGTTTTCTGAGTTGAGGTAGTAAGACATGGCCTTGGGTGTGATTGGTTAATTCTCCGCCTGCGGCGCTGGCATCCCATATGGGCACCGGGTTCTACTCCCGGTTGCTCCTCTTCCAGTCCAGCTCTCTGCTGTGGCCTGGGAGGGCAGTGGAGGATGGCCCAAGCGCTTGGACCCTGCACCTGCATGGGAGACCAGGAGGAAGCACCTGGCTCCTGACTTCAGATCGGCGCAGTGCCGGGTAGCGGCCATTTGGGGTGTGAACCAATGGAAGGAAGACCTTTCTCTCTGTCTCTAACTCTACCTGTTGGATCCCTTCAGGACTCAATGGTTCAAGCTGGTGGGATGGGGCCAGGGAGGAGGCACAAACAGAGGACATCTAAGAGCTGTGCCCCTACCCGGGGCAGCAAGCGGCAGCGCCTCGGTGGCGACTCCCTCCTCCCCCGGCGCAGCTGACAGGGAAACGGCTCGGCACCCTGGGCACAAAGCTAGGAGGGTGGGACACAGACAGGGCGGGAGGAGGGAGGGGGCTGGGGGCGACCTGGCGCCGTGGGACCGCGGGACCGGCAGCGCCTTACAGCTCAATATTATTCCATGTTTTTTACAGCTCAATATTATTCCAGTCAGTACTTGGTTTGAACTACTGACTGGATTCCCATGTCTACACAAGCATGACTGTAATACTGGAGAAATGCCCACCTCTGCATGTTTTGGCTCCACTCTGAAGTCTGTAATGCCATCTGAATCTTAACTGTGAGTATACTTGCTGATGTTGATCCCAAGTGGAAACGCTATATGTGACTGTAAAGGACCCTGGGTGTCCGGTGAGCCAGACTGCCCATCTTTGAGAGTCCAGGATACAGAGAATGTATCTGCATGCTTGGAGCAACAGGTTGATCCTGAAAGGGGTTGAGGCCCAGAGGCGCAGAAGAGGAGTTGCATATTTTACCCTCTACTGAGAGCTTATTTAGCTGGCACTATTCTCTCTTACACACACATTCTAAAATTCTACATAAGCATTCTATGCTGTACTTTAAATTTCAAACCTCATCACCAATGTATGGTCAGCAGCCACCTTGCAATTGTGTAGTACGCGTGGTTTGCTGTTCATACATTCACCCTCCACAGAACCCGAACTGACTGCCTAATATTCATTCCATGCCAGGAGAATCACCAGAACAGTTACGCTTGCTGTTTGCTTCTGGTTAGTTTCGTTCAGAAAGTAGTGTAATGGAGTAACAAGGGAACATATTCAGAGGATGAGGAAGCAAGATTTAGTCAATCACTTTTTTTTTTTTTTTTTTGGACAGGCAGAGTTAGACAGTAAGAGAGAGAGAGAGACAGAGAAAGGCTTTCCTTTTTCCATTGGTTCACCCCCCAAGTGGCTGCTACAGCCAGCGCGCTGTGCTGATCCAAAGCCAGGAGCTAGGTGCTTCCTGCTGGTCTCCCATGCAGGTGTAGGGCCCAAGGACTTAGGCCATCCTCCACTGAACTCCTGGGTCACAACAGAGAGCTGGACTGTAAGAGGAGCAACTGGGACAGAATCCAGTGCCCCAACCTGGACTAGAACCCTGGGTGCCAGCGCCTCAGGCAGAGGATTAGCCTAGTGAGCCATGGCGCTGGCCAGTCAATCACGTCTTAATCAGGGATTTGGGGCAGCAATGGAGAACAGTTGTGATGATCCTTAAAGGTTTCCTGGTGCCTCTGAAACTCCTTCATGGGATGAGACACAGGGCAAAAATACATTCAAATATTGCATCTGATCACGAATGTTACTTTATTCACTCATAAAGCTGAATTCTCATCTGTTATCTTCATGTATTAATGGAATTGTGTTCATCTGCCTATCACTCCTCCTAGTCATTCATCTTATTTCCCAACTTTAAGTAGAATATTTTCTATTTTCTGTCTAGGATCACTCTCATTCCACATTGTTGCTAGGAAAATTATTCAGAATCACAGATACGATTCGGTTACCCCTGTCTGTGAACTTCCTTACGATTCTTCATCAACCAGAGATACACAACCTGCCCCTTGATTCTTGGGGATATCACTGGCCTCCCTGGGAGGCATTCTGACCTCCAGTAGCATCATCTTTGGTTTTTCCAAGCAGGTTCTTTGGACTTCTGCCACATTCTCTTGCCCTGATTATCCTTCACAACCCACATGTAGCCTCTGTGTCTTCTCTCCCTGCCTCCTCCTAACAATTACCGATTCACTGAAGTACAGACTTCCAGAAATTAGGGCAAAATTTGTGCTGTGCTTCATACTGTTTGACATTTGATCATATGTGTCTTGAGCCCTTTGATAATAGTGTATGGAGTATGCAGACACCAGAGCCTTGACTCTGCAGTTCTGTGCATGACTGTGGCCATGTACTTACTTTTTACCCTTAAATAACTCCCTCTACCAACCACGGATAAGGGTACCTACCTTGCAGAGTTATTGCTGGTTTGCATGAAGCTATGTGAGCATGTTTCTGAACACAGTGCCTGTAAAACACCTAGTGCTCAAAAATGATTTTTACTGCCTACATTCCAACAGAATGACTAAAATTCATTCGTTCATTCATGCCTGTGTTTTGTTCTGATTATTGTAAAATATGGACTTTTGTTCAACCTACTGCTTGATAATGTCAAAGAATGACTAAGAGGTGGGTGTGATTGTGTATTAATAATATTAAACACTGAGACTTGGCCGGCGCCGCGGCTCACTAGGCTAATCCTCCGCCTAGCGGCGCCAGCACACCGGGTTCTAGTCCCGGTCGGGGCTCCGGATTCTGTCCCGGTTGCCCCTCTTCCAGGCCAGCTCTCTGCTGTGGCCAGGGAATGCAGTGGAGGATGGCCCAAGTGCTTGGGCCCTGCGCCCCATAGGAGACCAGAAGTACCTGGCTCCTGGCTTCGGATCAGTGTGGTGTGCCGGCCGCAGCGCGCCAGCCGCGGCGGCCATTGGAGGGTGAACCAACGGCAAAGGAAGACCTTTCTCTCTGTCTCTCTCTCTCATAGTGAATGTGTAAGACACCATTTATTCCACCTGTGGCGCCGGCACACCGGGTTCTAGTCCCGGTCAGGGCGCCGGATCCTGTCCCGGTTGCCCCTCTTCCAGGCCAGCTCTCTGCTGTGGCCAGGGAGTGCAGTGGAGGATGGCCCAAGTGCTTGGGCCCTGCACCCCATGGGAGACCAGGAAAAGCACCTGGCTCCTGGCTCCTGCCATCGGATCAGCGCGGTGCGCTGGCCGCAGCGCGCCGGCCGTGGCGGCCATTGGAGGGTGAACCAACGGCAAAGGAAGACCTTTCTCTCTGTCTCTCTCTCTCACTGTCCACTATGCCTGTCAAAAAAAAAAAAAAAAAAAAACAAACAAACAAACAAAAAAAAACACTGAGACCAAAATAGTGAAAAGCCCATAGCAACAACTCAGTAAGCATTTGTTTGATGAAATGATGGATAACATTATTTTCTACCCACATTTTAAATACAAAAACTTCACTGTCATTTCTTTTATTTATTTATTTATTTTTATTTAGTAAATATAAATTTCCAAAGTACAGTTTATGGATTACATTGGCTTTTTTAAAGATTTATTTATTTGAAAGACAGACTCACAGAAAGAGATAGAGGTAGAAAGAGAGAGAAAGAGAGGCCTTCTATCCGCTGGTTCATTCCTCAGATGGCCTCAGTGGCCAGAGGTGGGCTGATCTGAAGCTGGGAGCTTCTTCTGGGTCTCCCATGTGGGTGCAGGGGCCCAAACACTTGAGCCATTTTTTGCTGGTTTCCCAGGTGCATTCGCAGGGAGCTTGATTGGAAGTGGGCAGCTAGGACACAAACCAGCACCCATATGGGATGCCAACACTGCAGGCCAGGCTTTCATCCGCTCCACCATAGCACTAGCTATTATTTTTTAAAAGAAAGATGGAGGCAGAGAAAACACAGAGGAGAGCTTCCAGTCACTTTTTCATGCTCTAAATGCCACAAAAATTGAGACTAGACCATGCTGAAATCAGAAGGCAGAACTAAATCTGAATTTCCCACAAGGGTAACAGAAACCAACTGCTTGAATCGTCACCACCACCATCCAGAGTGTTCATTAGTTAGAGGCTGGAATACAAAGAGGAAATAGGTATTGTACCCAAGATGCAGGCCTTCCGAGCAACATCAGTGATGCTCCATTCATCTTGATGGTGTGCTTTTTAAAGTATTGTGGACTTACCATATGAATCTTAAATACCAACTTTTCTTAAATGCATTCCAAACTATAATGGCAATATGTTTAGTTCATATATTTTTAACTTCCAAGAATTTTTATTAAGACGTATTCTTTGTTTTTCAAAATTCCAAGATTTGATCCAGACGTCTATACCTGATACAGAAAACTGTTAAATGGGAAGATGTAGTGACTTTTTCACTGCAAAGTTTAAGCAATTTATATGTTTTACCACAGTATATATCAGCCACTATATATAACAGAACAGAAATACTATTAACATAAATGCATATTCTAATAATAATATTCCATGTATCTACTTCTCCATTTCCTCAAATTATCTATAAATAAATAGGACATCATCTGTACATCTGTGGAAAAGATTTACAAAACTCACTAAGGTCTAATTTGCTAGGGCACACATTACAGCCTCATAACAGAAGGACATTTTGCTGAAAACATAAGCCATCTTATTCAAGGTGTTATCTAAATTTCTTGGCATCCCTTCTTCACAATATATATATTTTATCATCTTTAATTTTGTTCTTAAAAAGTGCAGTTTATCCTACAGTATTCAGAAAAATTGGCATACAATTTTCAAATCTACACAAGAAAATACACACCAACAAAAGTTAAAAGGATGATAAAATGCCTGAACATAATGATTTGTAAAACATTCAGAACAAAAGTGCAAAAAAATGGTAGCTACACAATTCCAAGTAATTAAATCAGTGAGAATTCCATTCTTTGGACCCTCGTTAGCTATATACAGCCATTCAATTCCAGATATCAGTACTATAAAAAATAGTAGTTGTAGATATATTTAATAATTACATCATAATCTTTAAAGAGAAAAAAATTACAAACCATAATTCTATTATTACTTATTGAAGAATACTGATTTTATAAAAATATCACAGAATATTCTTCTTAAGTGCTGAAACTTAACTGAAAAGTGATCACTGTTAAATATAAGAGTGGGAATAAGAGAGGGAAGAGATGTGCAATTCGGGACATGCTCAAGCTGACTTACCTCAAACAGTAGAGTTAGAAACATACCAGGGGATTCGAATTCAATCCCATCGAGGTGGCATGTACCAATGCCATCTCACTAGTCCCAGTGATCAATTTCTGTTCACAATTGATCGTAATGATAGGACTAAGAACCAAAGGGATCACATAAACAAGAATAGTGTCTGCAAATACTAGCTGATAGAATAAAAAAGGGAGAGAATGGTCCAACATGGGAAGTGAGATACACAGCAGACCCATAGAATGGCAAATGTCCTAACAGCACTCTGGCCTCATAATCAGCCCTTAAGGCATGCAGATCCGGCTGAAATGCCCATGAGAGTATTTCAGGCATGGAAAGCCAAGACACTCTAG